GGGAACATTTCAGTTGTGTTGCTGTCTATGCAGGGCCAGAGAGCTCTCAGATTTCATCAAAAATATCTTAATTTGTGTTCCGAAGATGAATGAGGGTGAGTAATAAATGACAGAATTTTCATTTTTGGGTTAACTAACCCTTTAAGCAGGGGTATGCTAATTTTTCACAAGCACTGACGTGATGCATAAAGAAACTAGTTAAAAACGTTATCTGCAGCAACGTAAGCCCATGTTTAATGGTTAAACTTTGTACTACCTACCCAATCTGTAACGTATCAATCCCCTGTTATAAAGTGGCACTTCAAACTGGCTGTTGATCTGTATGGCAGAGGTATAGTCATCCATGGCTTCATAAAAATCAACCCGCAGATACTTCACCTGCCCTCGGTTATTATAGGCAATGGCCAAATCATGAGCACTACAGTCTCTAGATAAACATAAAATGTGATTATTAGCGAAAACATGTGAATATGATCTTAATTTGTCAACACGGTGGCAAGCAATCGTCTGTGCTTGACAGTTTACATGCAGTCTGTGCTGATGTTCACCACTGTCCTCCTGACTAGTTTATTCGAATAAATTTACAGTCGTTAATACCTGGATTTGGTGCAGGACTCGATGAATTATGTGTATAATTCCTCTGCTGGTTTATAATTCTTACTGTTGAACTCGTCCTGTGCTTTTTGTAGAACCATGAGCTCGCTGTCTACTAGTGATGACCGGTTCGCGAACGAATCGTTCAATTTAACCGGTTCTTCTTAGTGAACCGGTTGAACCAGTTCACCAAATCGGACTGAATCGTTTGAAACGGTTCGCGTCTCCAGGTAGCATTAATCCACAATTTACTTAAGTTATTTACTTTTTTAACGTGGCTGACACTCCCTCCGAGTCGAAATAAACCAATATCCAGGAGTAATTAATTTACTCAAACAGTACACTGACTGAACTGCTGTGAAGAGAGAACTGAAGATGAACACGAGCAGAGCAGCATGTGTGCAGCGAGCCGGATAACGAACGTACACACCCACTGCTGGAGCGGTTCTCGTTCTCGAGTCAAGAACCGGTTGCATCGGTTTTCGGATCACCAGTACACTGAACCGAAAACCGTTTCTTTCGGACACGTCCGATTTGAGAACCGATGAGCTGATGATACTGCGCATGCGTGTAATTTTTCAAGAGGACGAAAAGCATGTTATCCAAGTATTTTGTTAAACATCAGAAAGTGTGATAATATAAATATATTTTATTTTACTTTTTAAAAAAAGATGTATCTAATCTGTGTACTTTGTTCAGTTGAAGATTCTGTTAGGTTATAGGCCAAAGGGGTTTGTCAGGGAAGTTGGACAATAATTAAGACTACGTTATATAGGAATAAGGGATGATTTATGAAATACCTGTACTGTAATTATAGTTAACGATGACACATTCACAAATTGAGTTTGTAGTAAATAGAACATGAACACGAGTAGAGCAGCTGATACTGAGTGCGTGCAGCGTGCCGGTTAGAACGGTTCTCGTTCTCGAGTCAAGAATCGGTTGCATCGGTTTTCGGATCACCAGTACACTGAACCGAGAACCGTTTCTTTCGGACACGTCCGATTTGAGAACCGATGAGCTGATGATACTGCGCATGCGTGATTCAGCGACAGCGTGTGTGATCTGAACTACCGAACCGAACAGTAATGACTGTCACAGCACAGCAGCACCGCCCGCCACAGGTGTCTGAACTCTGAACCGGACAACTGATGCCATCGTGAGCGCGGGTGAAACGAGGATAATGGGCCAATCCGGCGAAACGTAAATTTACTTAATTACAAATAAACCGTAATGGATTATACATAGTAAGTGGAGCATAGTTTCTGCGCTGATGAAGACTAATTTATTGACGTCATAACTGTAAAACATCCTAGTTTGCAGATCACTGCCTGTATATGTGTTGATGCTTTAGATACAAAAATCCAAATTGTAAGAAACGTATCAGATTATAATGATGTTTTAATTGACTGATGTTATGATTACTGACTTTATATTTGAATGTGTTAAGCCCGCGATAGACTTGACGCCATTACGTCATCGCCAATGACGTCATTACGTCGAGCGTAAAAGAACCGGTGAACCGGTTTTTTCAACCGGTTTATTGAATCGAACTGTCCGAAAGAACCGGTTCGCAGAAAAGAACCGAACTTCCCATCACTAGTGAGCGGTAGTGTTGGGTCGTTCTTGAACGATTCGTTCGTTTTGAACGAATCTTTAATGTGACTCGGGAAGAACGAGTCGTCTCGGGGAGTGAATCGTTCAGTGGGGAATGCGCAACATCCTATAGGTTCTGTACTGGAATTTGTCAAGTAGTTCACCTGGTTCGAGTCTTCGGGTTTTTCCGAGTCGTTCGTTCATCACGTGACAGCCCATAAGTTTA